CGTCGCTGCCCGCCGCCGGCCCCCACACGCCCGCACCGCCCTCGCCCGCCGCGGGAGGCGGGGCTCCCCCGCCGCCATCTTAGGTGGGTTCGCCTCCCCCCCGCGGCGTGCGAGTCTGTGGCTGGCGGGCAGCTCGTCCTTTCCTCATCGCCGCGCATTGCTGAGGAGTGAGGGGGAAGGCACGCAGTGCTGGAGGTGGGTGAGGGAGTGCCGGCTGCCCCTCCGGACCTGCCCCACAGCTCCTCGCTGCATTTTGCCCCTTCGCGGGGCGCGGCGGGGGCGCGTAACGGCCGTCCGTCAGCGGCCGGGGTCGTCCTGCGGGGAGCAGGGAGGTCCCCTGAGGAGTCAGGCTTCGTCGTGGCTCGGGGGTTTGCCTTTGCGTTCCCGTTAGGAAGAAAAACTGTTTCTGGGGAGGTGGTAGTGAGTGAAATGCGCTGGTTTGCGGCGAGGTGGGACCTTGATGGTGAACCGGGAGGGAGCTCCTGGGCCTGGTGAAGTCAGTCAGTACCTGGGCAGCCTTTTGGGGGCTGTTTAGGATTTCATCCTCGCTAGGCACCTGCTTGAGGTTAGTTACAAGCTCATTTGGCAGGGAGGTGGCAGTTAAGTCAAAAGTGAACAAAACCAGAGTTTTAGACTTGCTTTTATGGGGAAAATGCATCTTCTTTAAATGTGCTATGTCTGCGAAAAAAACAGCAAGCAGGCTTTGTATCTAGAGCTGACTGGTGTGTTAAACAGAAGAAACACTGTAGTCAATCTATGATCCACCCTTTCCCTCTAAAAACGGACGTTCTCCTGCCTGAGACTTGAAGATCAAGCCACTCCTTTTTTTGAGCCTGAGTGTTTCAGCTTTGACTGTATCAGTGCTTGAACTGAACCAGTTGAATATCCTCAAAAGAAGGAAATGGTGTTCCTGTAAAGTGTATGTGCAGAAGAGCTTACTCCCATTGAAAGTTAATTTGGTACTAAAGATTACTCATTGACTCTATTTCTTTTTTTTTTTTTTTTTAACCCAATGAGTGGTTGGGCTTTCTTCAAAACATTAACACCAAACATGTATTTCTCTGCAAATATATCATGCTACTTAAGTAAGTTACAGTTAGTGTGCACTCTAATGTAGTTTTATGTAATTCAAAGTGGAATTCAGAATAGGACTTTAAAGAAAAAAACCACTTTAATCCATTTTTAGATAGCCATCTTTGTCCATCTGAGTGTGAAATTTTCTTCTTTGCTGTTCGCAGTTACTGTCACTTTGGCATACATTCAGAGAGGACAATGTCCAACGTGCCAGTGGCTGTGGTGACCGGGTCCAACAAAGGGATTGGATTCGCAATTGTGCGGGCTTTATGCAAGCAGTTCCCGGGGGATGTTTATCTGACAGCCCGAGACCCTGGCCGTGGCCGGGAAGCAGTGGCAAAGCTCCAGGAGGAAGGGCTGCATGCACTTTTCCATCAGCTGGATATTGATGATCTGCAGAGCATCAGAGCTCTCCGTGACTTCCTAAAGGAGAAGTATGGAGGGCTGAACGTGCTGGTTAACAATGCAGGGATCGCTTTCAAAGGTAGGAAGCAGACTGTCTGGGATAGACCTATATGCTACAAAGCTACATGGAGAAGGATAGTAGATACATCAGGGATTTTACAAAGCTTCTTATATGGGACTTCTGTGCTAACGGCATGCTGGTTTTTTGGCTGGGCAAGCTGCCTACCTTCTTAAGCATGATGAGAGGGCAATATGAAATGGCTCTTCCTCTGAGGCTAACTGTGCACATAGAAATGCTTCCCTGGGGTATTGTATTAGAATCACATACAGAGCATGAAAATGCTTTAGGCACCCAGTGCATGTGAGCAGAATTGGGTTTATTGCCTCAGTGCCCATGAGTATCACCAGGCCCATGGGAGCCCATCATCTGTGTGAATATCAGCCGTGTTCCTTAGGGATCTGTGTTTTCTCTCTTCTGCAAGCCTCATGCTTTGTTCTATGCATTATCTGCTCAATCATTATCTGATTCCAGTTGATAAAAAAGAACCTTTGGCCCTGGGTGATTTTGTCATCTTTATTTTTTTTTAACTTCCTGAGGCCATTCAGTTACCTATCGAACAGTTACCTTAAATTTTGCTGTGCTGAGCAAGAATTTAACCCGTTCATGTTCTAGTGGGCAGGAAGGCAGGGAAAGAGAGGAAGACACAGCAGTTGTAAGGTAGACAAGTGCATTCTCCTTGTAAGTGTTTATAAAAACAAGTTGAGAATCATGTTAGCTCCAGATAGAGCATATCACAAGCATGACTACTAGTTCATTTCTCTTCCAGTACAAACTTGTTCTTTCCATATTTTCTGGTGTTTGGGTTTTTGGTTTGGGTTTGGGTTTTTTTAATCTCTTTGCCTGATCTCCAGTTAGGATGTTTAACTGTTCAAGCTCATCTGCTCACAGCCTGAGTTAAGGAGGCCTGTCAGGTAGTATGGATCAAACCGCACCTGCTGCTGAATATGGAGCTTCTCATGAAGTGGGAGTGCAGCAGTGATGTTCTGAAGTCCAGCCACTGTATATTTTGCATGGTACTTTGCAGGAAGATTGCTTGTGTTCAAGATCAGCTTAATAGGGGCAACTCTTAATATAATTGTCTGAGCTTCAGGATGTGCTCAAGATAGAGAGGTGTTAAAACCTTGCAGCAACAGTTAAAAGATTGTGTCTCTGTCCATGCTTATCAGTTATAAAGCCTGCAGATGCTCAGACCAGTATTTCTTCAATTCATAATCAGGGCCTTAGCTCAACCTACTAGTGACAATGAGTTTTAGCAAGACTGGGCTGCAACTACAGCAATTGAAGTGCAGTGTGTGTTTCCTGTTGCCAGCTGTGCAGCAGCTGTAGCCTGCATCAAGGTGGATACCTGGACAGGTGAAATAAAACCTCTTCAAATTGGTGCAGGAAGATTTGCTAGAGCTCATCTGTGAAAGAGCTTAGATTTATTATTGTGGAGCCACTGAACAGATAAGTGAAATAGCATAAGCAGTGGAGTTTCTGTTACTTCCTTTACTACATCATAGATTTTTCTATTCAGAAGTTGCTTCTAGATGTTTAGCCTAGACTTTCTTCAAGCTGACAGCTTACTATGAGTCAGCAGTAGGTCATACAATTAAGAAGTGTGATAAAGGAGCCAGTTGTAACTCTTGTTGTATAAGTATCTAGCACAGAGGCTAGAGGGTTTAACACCTGTGTAAGAACTTGCTGTGATGATTATCTCATATTTTGGTTTTAATTCTTGCTTCTGAGATTAGCATTTCTACCCGAGCTTTCTTCTTGCCTCGACAGGTTTCTGGTACCATCCTAGAATTTATGCTTTCCTTTCTTTTATTGTAGTATTACATGTTATTGCTGTCTGTCAAAGATTAGATTTGCCATTAAATTTAATTTATTGTTCTGTTTTGGTACCGCACTACAGATAGTCCAGCAAAGTCCTTAGTCCAGCAAAAACTCTTCCTGTATAAAATGATTATGTACCTGTGGATTGCCTTCTGGATGAGCTTCTGTGATAACAGTCGTTCTAGTAATGTTTGTTAAATCAAGGGAGTGTGTATTATCAGATGTTACAAGTGATAATACCTTAGACAAATGAGTGGGTTTTGGAGTGTAGGGAAGCTTCTCTTTTGCAAGGTGGGTATGGAAGCTGGAGTTCGGAGTTGCATAGGTTTTTAGTTTCTTTTCTTCTCCCACTGTCACAACTCTTGCAACAGGTCATGATTTGGCTTTGTCTTGGATCTAAATGCAAGATTTGCAAAACTTGATGCCATTGGTGCCCATTGCTTGAGAGTATAAATGAGTCATTAAAGCTGTGTTCTCCAGTAAAAACACAACTACATTAAATACTAAATGACCTGTTACTTCTTTTTTGAGTTTACATAGGTCTGGGCTATGGAGACAAGTGAAGACCTGCCTTATCTATGTAGGTGGCCTTCATCACTGCAGAGAGAGAGCCTGAGCAAAAGACAAGGAATGTTGTAACTTTAACTCTTACTTCCCCCTCAAAGTGGAGGATGCATAGCATGTGGCTTGTTGCTGAGAAAAATTGTCAGCTGATGGCACATCCTACCCCACTTTTGTTGGTGGCAAGGTGTCAATTTTGTCTGATGAAATCATACCCTTACAGTGCAGTTCTATGGTCTGCTTCTGCTTACCTAAGTCAGCTCCTTTTCCTAGCTGCTAATTCCCACTCTTTTGCTTGTGTTAGCACAGATCTGTCAGTTCAGGGGGTGATTTACGACACAAGTATTTATCAGTTTGGGGGTTGGTTGGGGTTTTTTTGTTTGTTTTTTTCAGACTGCACCAAATCTTACCCCTGCATTCTTCATAGAATCTTTTACAGTGTTTGATGCAGTTCAGCACTACCCTGACTTCAAGCCCCAGCTAAGAACCCAAGACATGACAATGTAAGAGTCAGGATACAGAAGCAGTTGTCTGCCCTGTTGTTGGATGATAGTACCGGGCTGGTAGTCTAACTTGTGCATCTTCAGTGGCAGCATCCTAGATTCAGGATCTTCCCTTCTGATTTCCCCTCTGCCCCCTCCCCTGGTATGTCAGGATGGTGGCAAAGTACTGTGCTATGCATTTGAGAGGGCACGTCAAAGTTTACTTGCATGTGGTAGTGGCAGTGCAGACTCTGAGCACTAGGTGTGAGTAGGTGCAGGCAGGTCAGTGAGCATGTTGGGCAGCACATCTGTGAGAGCAATCTTTCCTTCTCTCTTCCATATAAAAGGCAGAAAGACAAACGGCCTGTGGGTTGGCAAATGACTACAGAGCGATACAACTGGCTTTCCTGGGGCAAAGCTAAAACCTTCAACTAAGAAGAGGTGAAAACATAATTGGCTCATTATTAATATAATATTGCAGAGCTATGTCTGTTCATTAGTAAGAATATAAGTGTTAATAATGTTGCTTTTTTCTTATATATTTTAATTGATCATATGCCTGTTTTCTAATTATTAAAAAAAAAAAAAGGAACGAAGATAAACTTTTGGGTTTTGGTAGTTTGGTAACTTCCTTTCAAACAGTAGTACAATTCTGATTTTTTTTTAATTATTTTTTCTTCCTCCCTCACTACCACCTCTTATGAAAAGTTCATGACACAACTCCATTTGCGGTCCAAGCAGAGGTTACACTGAAGACAAACTTTTTTGGAACCAGAAATGTTTGCACAGAATTGTTGCCTCTTGTGAAGCCTTATGGTAAGTGTAACATAACAAGTAGAGAAATAGTTTTATGTAAATTTTGGTCCTCATTAAATGGGAAAATCCTGTCCAGTCTCAGACATACTCTGCCTCATAGCAAGAGGAGTGTATCTTGCTGTACTGTAGGTCAGAGAACAGATGTCCTTTCTAGACCCCCAAAATGTCTCTGCTGTGTATATTTAAATCTACTTCCAAGCTGGTTGCATTCTTCTGTTACGGATTGAAGTAGAATTCTCGTGGTGCCCTCAAGAAGACTTAAAGAACTTATCCATGTTCTGTCCATGATATCTGCCTACATAAATTGTTCTTGCTTCAGAAAGGACATTTTGATGATACAACTAGGATAAGGAAGTACCTAAAAATAGTGTTTCAGCTGAGTTTGATGTGACATGCCTGTTCTTGCTACTGCTGAAGAAACCTTCTCAATAGGCTGTTGGTCTGTCTCTATCTAGATCACAGCCTTTGCTGTATTTGCAAGTGTCTAGTGATGTAGTTATAAATGGCACTTGAAGATGTACATCAAGTTACTGTGATTTGGTGATGTTAGGAGGAACTGGAAGAAAACACTTTACCAAAAATGGTAACTATAATGGACCAGGGTCAAAGAAGATAGATGCATCGATAATAAAGAGGTGTTAGGAACATGCAAATAATCTGTACTCGCTAGATGACTCTCCTGCACAGAATGCTCCTGTTTTCAAAACCTGGCAGTGTTGAAAGTGCCCTGGAATACTACTGATATATCACAGATGATTTGAAAGGAGGGTATTTGCATCCAATACCTACACCAAATCTAAGGGTTTTTTTTAAATACAAGTCTTGAAAAGAATTGTGATCAGTAGATATTTTCATGGATATTTGGATAAGTGCTTGCTGCTATGAATGAAAGTTGTCTATGCCAACATTTAAATTCATCTAGGCTTTTAAGAGAAAAGAAGTCGAGTAGATGAGAGAGAAGTTGGGAACTGTTAGTGCCTACATGGGAGGGAAAGGATAGAGTAAATGAATTTTGGGGGCTGGTAGGGGAGAGAGCAAACAGTGCCAAAATTGCAATTTAGTCCTCTTGTACTAAGGGTGAAGGACAAATATGTTAATAAAGTCATTAACAGAAAGGATTCATTTCATTGGCTTTTGAGATCTAAGTCCTGACGTTCATTCCCTAGTTCATCACCTGAATGGCTGTGAACTAGGAAGAAGGAGGGAAACAGTGTAACATAATTTTGGGGAAGATGAGTGAATTACTAATTCAGCTGACTCATTCCTCTGTACTAAAGTGCTGAAGATAAATAGCTTACTACAGCTTTGTAAATCTTCAGGTGTTCTGTAAACAAGCTGATGGTCTCACTGCATTAAGAACTAGATTGCTTTTTTTGAATTCTCTATTCTGGCTTTTGAGGTACATTTTCACAGCACTTTACTCAAGCTGTTGCAGGAGTGAGAACGTTTTTGACCAGAACTTCAAGAGTCAAGTCTGGCTGCCATTACTGAGAGAGCCACTTATTTCTATGAGTATGCCTACAGATTATAACAGGCTATTTCGTGGATGAATACCTCAAGTTTGATAGAGAGCTTTTTCAGGGTCACACTTTAAATAACCCTTTGTAATGGCATTCACTAGAAACACTTGACATTGAGTTAACTGCGATCTTCCAGAAGCTCGGCAAAATAGCCCACACAAAGTATTTTACAGGTGTTCAACTAAGTGGTGAATACATAACTGTAGAGCAAGCCCACTTCAGTGTCTGGGCTTGTTTAGTCGGTGTAAAAGTAATCAGTCTTTATTCTCTTTTACCAGGTAGAGTGGTGAATGTCTCTAGTATGGTAAGTAGCTCAGCTCTGGGAGGCTGCAGCCGGGAACTACAGCAAAAGTTTCGCAGCAAGACGATCACTGAGGATGAGTTAGTGGAACTCATGACCAAATTTGTGGAAGATACCAAGAAAAGTGTGCATGAGAAAGAGGGTTGGCCAAATACGGCCTATGGAGTATCCAAAATCGGTGTCACAGTCTTGTCCAGGATTCAAGCCCGGATGTTAAATGAGAAAAGAAAAGGTGATCACATCCTTCTCAATGCCTGCTGTCCTGGGTGGGTGAGAACAGACATGGCAGGTCCTAAAGCCACTAAATCACCGGATGAAGGGGCTGAGACCCCAGTTTATTTGGCTCTTTTGCCTTCTGATGCTGATGGTCCTCATGGCCAGTTTCTTAGTAATAAAACTGTTCGAACCTGGTGAGCTTATGTATGTGGACCCATGCAAGCGGTAATATGACTGTGGATTATCCTGTGCCCTGGTACAGCATTTAGCCAGAGCAGTCTCATCCTGTCCACAGCAGCAGCAGGGTCCTTTATCATTACAATAAGGGTTACAGTTATGGTACTCCTGTGGGATTAAGTCTATACTAGGGTACACTTCCCAACAATCTCTATTAGCCTGCTCACAGCATTGATTCTGTAGCCTAAAATCTGATTTGTGGGTGTTCCAGCCCAGATGTTACAGGCTAATTTGGTGTTGCCCTAAGGCAGAGGTGCCTGACCTTGTTTACCAGAATTTACTCTTAATTAAATCATTGCTAGCCCTTCTCCCACTCCCCCATGACAGATCTCTGACATGTAATTGGGATGAGGGAGCAGATGCCTTATGTTTTCTCTGCACAATAGATCTTTCTAGGGACCATAGTTGTTTCTTGAGGTTGTCCAGGGTTTCTTAAAGAGGGAGGGAGGTCTTCTGAGAGCTACAGTCTGACCAGTTAGGAGGGAGGCTAATAAGACTAGAACAGAATCACTGCTCTATAGAGATTCCTTATTATCAGTACAAAATGGAATTAGGTGAAAATAAAAATAGCAGTGACATCCCATTAATAGTACTTTAATCAGTTGGCTTTATTAATATGTATGTCAATAAATGATTACTTACTGATTTGTATTCATCCAACTGGCTTATTCTGATACTAAAAATTTATAATGTTTGGAAATACACTTTCATTTTCTGCAGCTAAGTTGGTCGCTGGAATGTGTGACATTTGGACTATATAAAGAGAAAATAAACTACAGAACTGATATAGCAAACTATTCCTTGGGACTTCCAGTTCATTTATTGCACAGCCAGAAGTTTCCTTACTAAGAACCTGGATTAAGTGCTCTCTGTGTAGTAGAGAATATGAACTGTAAATGCTACTGTACTATTACAGGATAGGACTGAAATACATAATTATCATGGTAACCAAAACAAGTCATCTAAGCAAAATCACAAGTAGAGGAAGCAGTAACATGGAAAGCACCAAACTGGTTTGCTCATTTTAAATGTTGGTTATTGCATTTCAAATGCTTCATCTTGAAAGGTTGCCATGGCACTTCAAGCTGTAAAGGTGGAGCAGGGTGGCAGCAGAGGCAAGCTGGGGGTAGGGCAGGGCACCTGGGACAGCCCCAGGCTGCAAGGAGCTGGAGTGAGGTGGGGTTTGGTCACCCCCAGGCTAGCACCGTGCAGCTCTTTCTCTACCATGTCCTGCCAGCCAGCAGAAAAGCCATGGCAGGGGTGCCGGGGCCCTGCTCTGTGCGCACAGCACTGTGCTCTGCGGGGGGAGGCTGCTGCCCTCTTCCTCTTGGTGTGAGACACAGAAGGAGCTGTAAACAATTGCCTATAAACCTGTCATTAGTAATGACAAATCAGTAGTGGGCATGTTAATTCTTAATCAGGAGTCAGCAAGACAATGCCAACGTGGCTTAGCTGACTGGGTTTTACGTTGGCTTCCCCTGGTACAGTTTGTGTTCAGGGAAGTCTAGGAGTGGAAGACGTTGAACATAAATAATATGTGTGGTTTTAGTAATTGCTTATCAGCACAGAACAAAGGTGTGATTATTAGTTGGTCTTTTAAGGATACAGTAGCTATTGTTTTTATGAAGATGGAAGTATTGCCAAATAAGTCATGCCCCAGAGCTCATTGAAGAGAAGGATGAATGCTGCCCCAAAAGTTCTCATATTAATCTATTCTCAATGAAGAAAAATAATCTGAGACCTTGAAAAGGGCAACAGATCAGTTACAAAATCCCTGTGTAAAGTATTTAATGCATTTTATATACTACCAACAGACTGCCTATGGTATGATAGCTCCAAAAGCCATCCAGTTAATACAGTAACTTGACTATCATTCTGATGTGCAACAGAAAGAACCACAGTTTGTATATGCTCTTCTAGTTGTGTTAATGGTATCTTGGCAAAATAAAACATGGCTGTTCTGATTTAGTAGTAATTTGTGCACAATTTTAAGAGATGTAATCCAACAGTGGAGAATCATACCTAGTTCTTCATACTTGAAATGCTGCTTGAGTCATTAAGTTTGAAAAGTTGCATGCCCTTCCAGTTGGCAGGTACAAGCTTTCCAAACAAATCTTGACCCAGCTTTCCTGTGGTTTGTACAAAGACCAGACTGTAAGAGTCCTAGGTACATTTACACTGGCTGGATAGTATCCATTGTTAAATACAAATTAGTTTCTAGGTATCCTCTACGCTCTGTAAAGCTCCTTCTTAAGTCTAACTCGGGATCTGGGTTTATTGGGTTTTTTTTCACATTCAAGCCAAACAAATTATAAGTTGGAAAGTTTTACAAAAGATGTATTTCAAATTCTTATATTGAACCCTTTCACGGTGCTTCTTCTTTGTCAAACCTACTTACCCTGTTTCAGGGTAAGGAAGCAAAGTGGAAGATGATGGCTAAGTAGTCATCTTCAGAAACGTCATTTCTCATGGTGAAATTGATTATAATATAGACAGTTTCTTCTGGTAGGAACAGAAAGAAGAACAGAGGACAGATCTTTTCACAACCTTTGCATCTGTGGTGCAGTACTCAAGGAAGGAGAACCAGCTGTGTGGATACAACCTCAGCCGTAGGAGGTGGAAACAAGAGGCAGAAAATATTGGCTGTTCACAGGACCAGAGTCAGGAAAGAGCTCATGCAGGAGAAGCACATACCCCTGTGACACTGGTAGGAGGACCGTGTCCTGGGAAGAGAGCTGGGACTGCATGGGGCAGACTGGCAAGGGGAGGGCTGTTTGCTGAGAGCAGACTCAGAGGACAGACTGTACAGTGTGTGTGGCAGGCTGGATCTTCGGACAGAGCTTGCATTGTTGAACCAAAATTTTTTTTTTCTTTTTTTAAGCTGCCTCCCTGCTTCTCTCTCATGTCCATTGTGTCTGAAGTGTTTTGTTGCTTTCAGATTCTGGCACACTTGCTGAGTGGTTATTGTGTAAAGTTTAAGGGTTAGGAAACGGATGAAATAGTAATGATCTGTTCTACTGTATAAAACTTTTACGCTTGATTTACTGTTTTTCTTTTTACAGCATGTCACTACCATTTTTACTTTGGAGTTTATTAGCCAAAGAAAATGTCTGGCAGTGCAGTAGCTGTGGTGACATGGGGCAATAAAGGAATTGGATTCACAATTGTGAGAGCTCAGCGGAGGCAGTTTCTTGGGGATGCTGTAGCTTATGCAGCAGTGGCACAGTCAGGCAGCAGTGGCAAAACTCTGGGAGTGGAAGCTGTACCTGCTGCCACATCAGCTGGATGTAAACAGTGTGCAGGGCCTCTGGGACTTTCTGAGAAGAAGCTACAGACGTGCGAGTGTGCTGGTTAACAATGCAGCCGTCATTTTCAAAGGCTGTAGTAGGCCAGCTGTTCGGCAGAGCTTTGCTTTGGAAAGCCAGTGATCTAAAGGTATGGGGTCAATCAGTAAGGAGACTGGTCTGCTCTAAACCTTCTTGAATCTAAAGGGGATTACAACCAGGTCATTTCTATCTGGATCGCCTGCAATGCTGACAACTATCGTGTGGGCCAGGTGTTTGTATCCCTTATGGTTCCAATGCTGTGTAGTGCAGTGCATTTGGTTTTCAAAACTGCACTGTAGACATGCCTAGAGAGTTTGAGGTCAATTTACCTAAAAAAATGAAGAGGAGATACTTAGCTGAACACATTGTTTCCTTAAATTTTCCATTTAAGTGTTTTCTTATATAAATAATGAAGATGAGAAAAACTCTGAGAATTTATTTATGTCCCTAGATAATTTTAATTGAACTCATCTTTTATGGTAGTATGACCTAACATGTAGGCAGTGTCCTAACTTTGAATGCTGTGGCATTCCTCTCAGCCTAAAAACATGGCAAGAAAATTTAGATTATATGTGCCGCTCAGTATTACTTAAAACACTTAAATGCAGAATATAATTGAAACTCCAGTCTTACATTGGTATAGGAACGTCCTTAGCTTTTCAATCTCAAATAATGGAAAAAGAGAAGGAACAATAATGGTGTTCTACAGTGGAAATTTTTCAGGTTTTGTACTGCAAAGACTTCATTTTGGAGCTGACAGTAAAGGAAACTGTTAGCTGGACAAAGTTCTGGTCTTGGAGGCCAGTTTTCATCATCTATAGATCGCTTCACTAGGTTAGCTATTCATAGGACTTACATCTGAATGAACAATACCCAACTTCACATTTCCCAGTTTGGATTGTTGTCTTGTCTTTGCACCCTGCTACTGATCTAGAGTTGTGGTAACTCAGCAGTCTTAAAATCCCACCCCATCTCTCTTCAGATACGTACCCATATACTCAGACACCCTGATCGGATGAGCATTGTCAGTTTTGCTTGATTGGAGTTATACGGTATTTAGAGAACATACAGCAGTAGTGGCTCCGGTGGTGTTTTATTTGTGAATGTATTGTTTTAGACTCTGCTAGGGAGATAAAATACTGACAGCAAGCAACTTGTTAAACTTCCCTCAGTAAATAGAAATGCTAAAGTTTTGTGGTAGAAATTTCATATTTTAAATTGCGAGGGATATTTCTAAAAAGAAATTTAAAAATCTGACAAGTGATATACGATTGGAGTGACTTTTCCAGTACAAATCAAACATTTATGTCAACGTCACGTGGAAGTTAACATGAACGTTCATTAGATTGAAATGCAGCCTGGCTGTCTCCAGAAGTGATTACATCAGTAAATCTATTACTTGATCCCATCCCAAGGGCCAGGATTTAGCATGGGCAGTGCTGCCATGGTGCATATAACAAACAGATTTATAGCCTTTCCTGAAAAAAGTCCTGAATAGTTAGTATGATAGGCATGCTTTGAATTAGCATAACCTCTGATACAAAACAGCCTTTGGAGTTATTTTTTACATGATTTCCCAACCAACGGATTTGTTAAGCACCCAAGGAGATGAAGTGAATTGATCCGGAGGTTGGTTGGGTTTGGTGCATGTTCTGATCAAAGCTTCCCAGCTGGCTGAGCGCTTCCGTGGCCTCTCTGTCAGATGCCGGCAGCTGACCTGATACTGCAGACATTCCCTCTGCAGAAGCCCCCAGGAGGATCTGTCTCCTCTACCTGACTGCCTGGTTCTTTGAAATTCTGGAAGACCTCTGTCTCAGGTTAGAAATGGCAAATTGATTCAAAAGGTAGGTGGAAATCAGAATGAAATGAAAGTAGTTGGGCACCCATATACAACTGGTGCAGTCAAAGAACACAGATTTGTGAGAAAAAGAACTTCTAAAAAGATAGGAAACCCTCAGAAACTAAAATATCCTAAGTAACATACTATATTTTAGGACATATGTGTCCTATGTTAAGGACACCATCAAAAATACGAGTTGTTTGTTTTGTCGGGCATGTATTTGAAGAACTGACCTTTATTTCCAAGAACTAAGCTACACTACCTTTGAAAGTTACAAAAACCTAAAATTTAGAAATTGAAACTTACATTGGTGGCTTTGCAGTTTAGAAAGTTAGGCTATGTTGATGCCCATGGTACTGGATATACCTACTGTCAGGTATATCTAAGGAAAAATGTTATATTCAAATGATCAGGTCAGGTCATTGTATTAGGAGAGAGCCCTACCTGAATTTAGAACCTGATTGACTGTGTGCTCTAATACCACCCCATTTCTGAAGATTTGTCTTTTAAAATTATGACAGGTCTGTAATAAAGCTGTAAATCACTGCAAAACTTTTTAATATTTTGTCACACAAATTTCCCATGTGTTACACGTTTCTCTGAGGTTACCCAGCCTTTCAGGCATCCACGCTGACCTCAGCGCTGCAGGCAAGTGCTGACTTCCCAAACGGATGGAATGTGCACGAGCCACGTGGGCTGTATGAAAGCTTGTGAACAATTGCTCAGATTTTATGGTGAGGTAACATATGCTGAAGCTAGGCCAGCAGTGCTTTTTGGTACCTGGTCCAGCTTTTGGAGATGTACGCAACTGGGGAGTGAAAGCACATGTGGAAGCCTTCCTACCTTCCCATCTTGCTTCCATCCTTCCAGCACATGCATACAGCAGTCTCATTAGCTGCCAGTAACCATAGCTTTTATTTGCTAGAAGAACAACATATCAAATTATATTACTAAAATCTAGCTAGGAAGGGGAAAGGCAGGTAGTCTCAGGAAAATAAAAGAGTATATTAACATAAAACTTACTGGAGATCATTGCTGAGACACTATCCATCAAAATCTTAACAGTTTCTGTTATCTGATCTTGAATAACTGAACGGGTGGATTTTCCTTGATTTTTTTCAGCTACTTTGAACTACCAGGATTATGTTCTGCCTGCATGTTAAAAGAAGGAGAAAAGAAAAAAAGAAAACAAAAGAGAAGAGAAAAGAAGCTGAAGTTAAATATGTTTCCACAGTGTATAAATCCTTGTCTGGCACGATCACGGATTTTACTTTCCATGGGTATTTTGCTAGTTTCTTTTTTTGCCATAATACTAAAAATCTAGCACATTGAGTTTCTTTCAAGCCTTTTGTAAAGAACAGAGGGGTTCTTATATTGAACTTGAGCCTGCTATCAATGTGACAGCTGAATCCCCGTGAAAGCCGTGTTTACAAAATTTGTCAAAAGCGCTTCAAGCCTAAAACCAGCCGGAACAGAGGCAAACCCGTGAAACGTGCCTTTACTGGCTTCACCGCAATGGAGATGCTGAAACTTGCGTTTTCCTGGAGGAGGAGGTCGCAGCCCCGGCTGCCCAGCTCCGCGCAGGGACGCCCATACCTGCGACCGCCGGTGCGACGCTCCAGCGTGGGAGACGGACACGGACACGCGAGGTTGCGGCTCCGCGCAGCCGCCGCCTTGTTTCCAGACCGGCCGAGGCCGATGGCACCAAGCGAAGGGAGCAGCCCGGGCGTGGCCCGCCGGCAGGGCGCCGCCCCGACGCTTCCCCTGCAGCCCCGCGGCCGGGCGG